GTGATTTTTCTTTTTTTTAGCCACTTTCATCTGTCTGCACTGCTTCCTGTAGACTTTTTTTATAATTGTCTTTTTGGTCTGGGATAAAACTAAAACCTGATGTTGTATGGATGGAGAATGGCACGATGGAAACAGTAATATATATGTTGTCATTGCCTGTTGCATCAACAAAACACTTTCACTTATGTTTTAGCTCTTAAAGTTATTTTGAAGTTTTGTTTTTTGTTTTTTTTCATCAAGTTGAACCACTGTTCTTCTTTCCGTTTTCCACAGGTTGCTTTGAGTGCTGCATCAAATGCTTAGGGGGGGTGCCATATGCATCGCTCGTGGCTACAATCCTCTGCTTTTCTGGTGTTGCCCTGTTCTGCGGATGTGGCCACGTGGCTCTCACCGGAACTGTGACCATCCTGGAAACTCACTTCTCCAAAGTCACCAGCGATCACGCCATGCTGACTGATGTGTAAGTAACCTGGAACAGCACTGCACTGCATCATGAAATGATCTGGTGTCTGAAGTTCAAAATGTTGTGTCTTTTATGTCAAAGTAATGGAAAATGTAGCCTTTAAAAAAATAGGTTGAATCTCGGGGGTTTATTGGAGTTTATTAAAGGTGACTTTATGTGGGCTATTTTTAGCGTTGAGTGTCTGCTACGATCACGTTATCCTTAGGATCAGTCCTAATATGGAGATTTTTTTTGTTGCAGTGCATCCATTAATCCTGACAATAAAAAACAGAATTGACAAGAGACAGGAATGTGCACGTGTTTGATGTTAGTGTAGACTCAGAGTGCACTGTTTAATGTTACAGGCACAGTTGGTCTCAGAGTGGACCGTTCCCATAAGTACATCACCTCTCGTCTCCACATTTGGTCTTCTTAGCTTCTCCACTCAGACTCTCTTGATCATAACCATCTGTTGATTGTTAATCAGCCAAAGCAGGTTAGAGATATTTAACAATAACACCAATGTCTGCAGCAGATAACGGAGTGAAACGCAGTTTATCTACCAGACATTTATTGTGGACATCTCTCCAGGCATAGCTGGGTTTTTTTTTTTTTTAATGTATCAAACCATGATGTGGTCTCACTGTCGGAACCTACCGCAGCCTCGGTGGTACCACTTACAGTACATCCACCTCTGGCCTTGTGTCTGAACAGAATACAGCTGATGCAGTATGTCATCTACGGGATCGCTTCATTTTTCTTCCTGTATGGGATCATTCTGCTGGCCGAGGGCTTCTACACCACCAGTGCAGTGAAGGAACTGCACAGCGAGTTCAAGACCACCATCTGTGGACGCTGCATCAGTGGAATGGTACGTCCACACAGCAGCCTCCTGACTGCAACTCAGGCCTGTCTGATTTGTATTCAAATGAAGTAGATGTAGACATCAATCCCAGTTTTGGTTTATTGTTCAATGACTTAAATCTAATTCTGTACCAAAAACTTGTTTCCTCAGTTTGTGTTCCTCACATACATTCTGGGCGTGGCCTGGCTCGGTGTGTTTGGTTTCTCGGCCGTACCGGTCTTCCTCTTTTACAACATGTGGTCGACCTGCAACGCCATGAAGTCTCCCGTGGCCAACCTCACCAACATCGACTCCATCTGCGTGGACGTTCGTCAGTATGGTGAGCATTAGCATTAGCATTAGCTTTATGCTCTGGGGAATGTATAGTTTGGCATCGGAGAAACAATAATTACTCTCGCGTCTCATGTCGAGGCTTGGCCCAGTCTGTGGGCTTTGTTGTGATTGGCCAGTGAGCCATGCTTTCATGTAGACCACAATAAGTGGTGTAGAAGAATTGCTGATGGAGAGATAGACGGCTAATAAAAGTGTAGCGGTTGAGACATTTGTTGGCGGTCATACTGGTATGAATGTTGTTGAAAGTTTACGACGTTTTGTGCCGTGCCACTGTGTGGGCGTGCAGTATTATGTGTACATTGTACTTTTTTACACAAGTTAATTAAGTAACTCTATAAAATGTGTCTGTATAGCTGTATGGAACCATTTAAATCTGCTGCTGTTCTATAAGGTCCCACCCATAAAACAGCCCATTGTTGTCGTCCAGTCTGACATCACCAGCTCTGAGAACTAAATTAACAATAAAAACAAAAATCCAGTAAAAACCAGAGCCACGTAAAATCTTCGTTTGCAATTAGTATATAAAACATCTGCACAACATAAAAAATGAAAATCATATTTCCCATATAGACCCATATTTGGTCTGTGTGCCGTAGATTGAGACACTCTGCCTTGATGTAATTTATTTTTCACATGATCATTCCTGACTGAACAAAGACTTGTTTTTTTTCCTGCCGTATCCAATCTCACTGTGAATGTAAGCTTTTGCTGACATCTGAAATGTCAGGTCACTGAATGAGAATAATGAAACCAAGTTATGACCTTTTTTCTCAGTCGACCTTGTCATTTGGGATGACTTTAAAGTTGCAGTCTCTGTGCAGAGCATGGAGTTGCAGCTGTAACTGGGTAAATGTCAGGACGAATACTGCTACAACAGCTGAACCTGATTGGATGTGAGACGTGCATTCACTAATCTTTAGCCTTGGTTTATGTTTGGTCGTACAAAAACAAATATACTCTTCATTTTCCGTCAATATTAGTAGACTGTGGATCCATTGACAAAGATTTCAGTTAAAATATTTAGCTAATATAAGAGAAAAATATTTATTTGATTCATTTCAAACACCCAGATATGTGCAGATGATGCTGTTGACCTCGCAGACTTGTTCCATTCATAGTCTTCAGGTTTGAAATATTAACGGCTCAGGAATTCCAATGTACTGTATCTCTCTGAATTCCATGCCTACAGGAATCATTCCCTGGAATGCCACACCAGGCAAGGCTTGTGGATCCACACTCGGTGACATCTGCAACACCAGTGAGGTGAGAAGATTTTTTTTTTACCTTAAATTGACCTCATAGGACGGGGTGTCAAACATATGGCACGGGGACCAAAACTGGCCCGCTAGGTGTTCAATTTAGCTGGCCTTATGGATTTTGAAAATTATAAAAAATACACAAACACTTCATGTTAAGGATATTTTTTTGTAAAATTATATTCAATAAAATATGAATAAATAACATATTTATACTATACTTGTATTTGTTTGTATGAGAACAAAGGGGTAAAAACATGGACTTGTATGTATAGTATGTATGTATATTGTATGTATAGTTCATCATGTTAAGATTGTAGATCTAATCAGGTTGTATGTGGCCGGTGAACCAACATCAGTTTGACACCCCGGTCATAGGAGAACATAGGATCAATAACTTATAATTAGGATTCAAAGGGAGGGAAACAGGACGAGTGGCTGTTGTTTAAAAAAACAGAAAAGTAAAAAGATGAATCCTGTTTGTCCTGTTGCAGTTCTACCTGTCCTATCATCTGTACATTGTGGCCTGCGCTGGGGCAGGAGCCACTGTTATCGCTCTGGTAAGTTTCCCATCAGTCCCTTCTTCTGTTAACTCGTCTCTGCATGGTTTGTATCCACAGTTTGTGACTTGTTGTCCCCCCTTTTTTCCATTCCATTATGGTTTGAGTAACCACTGACAGTATAACACGGGCTTCTCTTCAGCTACAGTTCCATTTGCTGCTTATCATGTGCACGGCACTGTTGAGTTATCAGAGCAGATGACAGTTGAAACTGTGTTGACCGTCACTTGTGTTGACTTTTTTTTTTGTTTTACTTTTTTCGGTAAATGACACACAATGCTAGTGACGAAGAGGTCAAGAGGGCATGTTTTTCTCACAAACTTTTCTGTTCTCTTCCACCAGCTGATCTACATGATGGCTACCACTTATAACTTTGCTGTTTTGAAGTTTAAGAGTCGAGAAGACTGCTGCACTAAGTTTTAAACCTTTTCAGCTCGTACACCGCAACCGAGGCTGTACAGACGTAGACACACACAGCTGCCACTGACAACTAAAAAAAAACAACAAAAAAAGGTTGACAATAGGACAAACTCTCTCTTAGTGTTCACATAAACATGTAAATAGCTGATACGTTTCCTGTAGCATTTTAGTCTGCCGTGATTTAGTTTGGCAGCGGACGTCGTATGAGGACGGTTGGTTTGTTCTGCTTTCCTTGGCACTGACCTACAGAACTACAGTATGTCACAGTTTCTGTGTAGAAATACATGGAACAAATACAAAAAACACACTAGTGTTATTTATGCTCCCCATGTGATTCCCTACCTGCACTAATGCAGCGACTGCATGAGTGTTAAAAAAAACAAAACAAAAACAATATTCCGCATGCAGTATTTCAGTATTATCAAGAATAAGTATTAGTTTAATGATGTCGAAATGGGAAGTATTTGTGCAGGTCTGAATGGTTTACTTAGACTGGGCTGAGCATTTAATGACAGATATACAGTATTAATGGTGTTTACAGAGTATATCGTGGAAAACTGATCAAGTAGAAGTTTTGGTAAAATGGGATACAACTCGCACGTTTGTTGAAGGGGTAGCAGCAGTGGTAGAGTTTGAGTGGTGACGTGTCCTGGCCATTTATTTCTGTGGTTTATTTGCCTTAAATTTAAAAACCATGAAACCACTAAGACAAAACCATCAGTGTTATATCTTTTGTCACAGGCTAGATTAATTAAAATGTTTAAAAAAATCACTCCTAAAAAAAAAAAGAGACTTTTCTCCACTGTGTTTTAATGCAAAAAGGTAATATGATATGACCACTTGTTTACTGTTGATTTCAAAATAATGGGTTTTTTTTGTTTGTTTGTTTTTTTTCCAATGAAAGCTGATGCTAGTTTAGCCTGATTAAGTTGATGGTGTTTTTACACACACACATATATATATATACATTTTTCTTTTATTCTCTCTCCAAGTGCCATTAAAGAGCCATTTTTTTTATCTTAACACTGAGCCTGCATGCTTACAATTTCCAGATTCTTTGTTCTGTTTAGAGTTACTTATACTTTATCATATATTTCATTTTCTCCTAAGGTTTTGAAGACTGTAGCTTTTACATGATATATAAATAAACAATCTTTGTTTACAAAAATATCATCACTTTGTCCATTTCTTAACTAATCTTATAAACAAAAAAATTGTATTTGGGGAAACCGAAAAGAGAGGTGAACTAAAAGGCAGGGCTCAACATTCCACGCTTTGGACTAACCTCTAACAGCGGTTGCATGAACTGTACAACTGTCGGCTGTTCTTGTCCTTTGCTTTCAATCATGCTGCAAAAGTTTAATTCTTGTAGAACTGTACATAGTTAATCTGGTCGTAACGGCAGTCGTAGTGAAGGAATTAACAGATATGATCATAGATCGTACAACAGGAGTGGACCTGGCCGTCTGGTCACAGGCAATAGTTGCAAAGGGAAGAACGAAAAGACTTGAAAAGCTCTGCTGGTTTAAGTAGTAACTCCATATTAGTGTAAGTCCATTTTTTATTATCTTTTTGCCCTTCAGTATGTCTGACAAGTCTTAGTCTTCTGATGGCATTGCTTGTCAGTTGTAGAGGACCATTAGGAATTCAACAGCCCACTTTCCGTGTTGTCTTCATTGCTGTTCGCTGCGGCTAACTTCATGTAAAAGCAGTTAGCTTCCTGGTTTTCAAATAATTAAATTAGCATTTTAGCTTTAGTCTTTAACCTCATCTAGTCTAAAAATACATATGGAGTTACTTCTTAAACAGTTACCACGTCGTTCAAGGTCCTGATCCGTGTCTGGCCACAGCTGTGTTCATTCCTTACATACGATCTATGGTCATGTTGCAGTAATAGTTAACTATTTACCTAGTGATGTCTGTGCTCTAGTTCTGTTTGAACAGATCTTAACTTTGTGTACGTACTGTAGCTCTGACTCCTGTAGCTTGCTTTGCTTCTCTGACATGCTCACCGGCCATCCACCTCACCTTCTCTTCCAGATCCACTTCCTCATGATTCTCTCAGCAAACTGGGCCTACCTTAAGGATGCCAGTCACATGCAT